CGCCACCTCTGTCGGATATCTAAATAAAACAGATAAAATATAAATTAATAATTATTTGTCGCAATCTAATTACATGCATTATTTTAGAAATTGACTTGTTAAAAACGAAACAAAACTGTTCGTCGTACCTTCACACAAATATCCTCTTTACCGCGCACCAGCAGAACCTCGAGCGGTGGATGATTGTCCGAATCCGATCCATGGTGCTCCATCACGGCTCGCATGCTGTTTTTGAAGATCTCAAATAACATATGATACAAATGACTCGGCACGTAAATGATTCTAATTTCACTACTGCGTTCAAGCTCTGGAAAAACAAAACGCACAACATACATGTAATCAGAACTCGGTCACTATTATTTTTTTTACAGTTTTAATTAACGTTTAATCTTATAAAATAAATATAACAAGATTCGCGCGTGCAGACAAAGTTCTCTCTTTTCTTTTTTATAAACACAATTAATACATATATAAAGATAATAAAAATAACAATAAGGATGAATATAACAATCTATAATATATGTATAGCTTCACAGAATAATCGATTATGTGTTCCAAATTATTTATTAATGCTAATACAATCAATAATGTTCAAACTTGCCATTATGTTGCTTGACTATCAATTCCGGACTAGCCAGATAATATTGATCGCATAAAAATCGTGCGTTCTCGTAAGCGTCTTTAATGACGCCGATCACGTCACAGGACGGATCTATACATCCTACGTGTCTACTGTGCCCGTTCAACTGTCCACCAAAAAGGAGCGCTAAAAGGCAAAGAAAGACAAACATTAACAAAATACTAATACTTTATTTATACTTAAATTTGTTAAATATTTAATTTCATCGATATACTCGGTACATACTGTGCTGATTGATTAGCATACGAATGGAAATGCGGGACATTAAAAATCTGTCCAGGAAATACTGTATGCTATTTTCAGTCTGAACATCCACATCATGGGACTCCTTCAGCTCCAGAACGCCTTGCGCCATCGTTTGAACGACATCGGTGTGTCTGTTCCGGATCTTTATCAGAGCTTGGCAGAATCTATAAAAAGATTCACGTCGAAGAATTCGTACAAAACAATCGATTTTCTCAAACATCGCAATTTGTCCAAGAGAGTGCTTAATCCACACACTCACTTGTCTAAAGTGGTCTCGTTGACTTCAACTTTCTCGAAGTGTATTATTTCCTCGAAGGAAGTAGCATATAAGTTATTCACGATACCCACACTAGGCATCTTCAGCAGATTGTCCGGCAGCAAGTGGATCTCTTTCATAATATTAGCGAGCCGTACCGGCAATTCTTTTCTCAGGAATATGAAAGACTTTCTTTCGCAGGCACTTAGACCTAAAAAATATACAAGATATAATCATATTTATATATTCGCAAGCTTTACTTATTAATATAATAAAACAAGGTAATTAATTATCATCAAAGCAGTTATTAATCTGGGAAAATTTTAACAAATAATTTTATCAGTTTTATAATTTAATATAAAAATAAATTCTAGATATCTTAATTCAAGCAACCACGGTGCGAGAAATAAAACTTTAGCAATCACACATTTCATTTTCGTAGAAATCTCTTATCTTCCTTTCGACTATTTAATCTTTCTTTGTTGATTGATAGATTTTTGCGTAAGGTGTTGACGTTGAGCAGGCAGTAAAACGATGACAGATATACTCATCAAAACAAGTTTTGTTCTGCAGCATATTTTTTCGTCTGCCAGACGCAAAATGCATATTTGTTGCGAGAGCTAGAAGCGTCTTCCAGAAAAGAATAAATGATAACTCACTGTCGCGTTATCGTTACAATATAAGATCAGTGGAAAAGCAAACCGCAAATTTAACGAGAGTTTTACGATATTTTCACAATTGGTCAACCATTAATCGCATAAACAACTGTGACAAATGCCCTGGCAAAAAAGCATGTATTATATTTGAATAATCCGTCTCGCAAAAAAAAAAGTCTAAATATAATATATTTAACATGCTTAAAAATTTATATATATATATAATATTTATACGCTGAGTTTTTACTTTATATAACTTAATATAGTCGAGAGAGGAAAAATGAAAGATAAAATTTACGAATATTTGCATTTTATAATTGAATCAAAGTAAACGAAAATGTTCACCTATGTACCAATTAACTGATAAGAAATTGTTTATGATGAGATAAGAAATTAAAAGTATGTTTTTATCACTAAATTTATGATAATTTAACCGATTATTTATAATTGTTACTAAAAAGTAATTTACAAAAAATTAGTGTAGAACTTTTTGTAGTTAAGTAGATAGAAATATTTCGACACAAAAAAGCTCAAAAACTCAATATTTTATATCGAATTAATAAATTAACATAATATTAAAATTTTATCTATTTTATTTATTTTAGTATCTTGTATATAAAAAAAAATTGCAAAATATATTACAGAAAATTCTATATAAAACAAAGTTCATTTAAAAACTGTTACATATTATCTCATCGTCTATAGAATAACGAAAAATCGATACAAACATTCTTTAAGCTTAGCAACTTCTAACAATCATACATTGACCTACTTAACAACGTGTTTCTATCACTATTGACAAATATGAACTACAGCTGCGTTCGCACATATACTCCATATGTCTTGGCTAAAAATATTCTACCGCTCAATTACAAGTTGTTAGAACAATTAGCAGAAATCTTCGTTAAAAAAATTAAACTTTTTTATTTTACATTTAAAGACTTTCTTTCAACTCTTAAGACTTAATTTCCTTTATTAAAAAATTGTATGCATTCTTAGATTTTGTCAAACACTTACAAGATTTTTGTATTTTGAAATACATGAAAGATAGTTGCTTGATAGAAGATTATTCTGATAGAAATGTTTATCGATCATCTATAAAATATTTGGTATCTGTACGCTCGCGAATAAATGTCGATAAATCGATCATAACATTCCTTATCTTCTCGGCGGAATGAAAATTCAATTATTTACATACACATGCCTCCCTCTGAGACATGTTCCCGGGTGTCTACAGCAGTGTGCTCTGAAAATAAACCTCGACCTCGTGAGCATGCAACGCGAAGAGATTGTTATTTGGGATTGCGAATCTGAAAAATTGCTACTTGGCGTCCTAGTACAAAGTGTTCGAACATTGTACGCAATAAGCATCAGAAATGTGATAAAATGAAAACGTAAGTGTACTTCTCATACTCATTAATAAAACATCTATGAATCAGTCATCAAATAGAATTTTAAATCGTGCTTTATACCTTGAAACTATTAACTCTGATAATTATCCTAAAAAAGCAAGTCTGATATGTAGAAGAAAAAATCGTGTATGTAAAGGACATAATTTATATTTATTTTCTGCAAATAAATAAAATCCAGCAACTTTTTCATTATAAATTTATTCCAACATAAAAAGTCAATATTTATTTCTGTAAATAAAAGAAGTTCCTCGCGAATTTTCTCATAAAATTTTATTTAAGAACACTATGCTAAAAAGTATTAAATGATATATTCACTAATTCTCGACTTGAGGAACGACTGTTTACTACGCGGCATATAATCATTGTACAGGTTGAGAACCTGAAAGAGTCAATGACGATAACAGCGTTTCTGCGCAATTTTAATCAGCCTTAATTAAGATGGAGGTTGCGTCATTCTTTCAATGGCGGATTCACTTGTAACTGCTTGTCAGTGACTCTATTTACATTGTATAATTGTATTGGATCTGTACGCGCACGGAACAGGTCTGCTAGCATATTCTGCAGAAATCTATTTTCAAACGAATTCTATTTGAACGAACAAGTTACACGTGACGTTACAAGACAATGATATTTCACGCGCGTTTGAGAGACGTTGCAATCTTTGCAACAAATTTTGCATTGTCGAGCATGACGCTCGTGGGCGTCAAACGAAATTACAAACTCCAAACAAAATGAATTTTTCGAAAAGAATAGCGGCAATCGCGATTCGATTCTAGGAGCGGCCAGCTGAGAAATTGCCGGGAAATTGAACGCCCTTATCTGCTAAACGCAGGTCGGATGAACCTTTGCAGCACCGTACTTTTATCTAAAATTTCATTTAACAATGCGAAATTGGATAAGCGAGAAATCCTGCGGCATCTGCTCACTGTTCATCACAAACGCTGGTCCTAGCACTTGCATCGATAGATAATAAAGCTTCCGATATTGCGAAGCTATTTCAATTAATTTCTAATTTAATATTAATTGATTCTCTAATTTAATATTAATTATTTGTATATTCTGAACTAATTGTAAATTACTATTAATTTATGGTATGACAGCTAAACTTCTCTTATCTAATTACAAGTATCCTAAAAAAGTATCAGACCTGCAAATCTTAATAATAAAAATGTTTAAAATAACTATACAAACTTGTATTTTCTAATTATAAAGTCTAGTATAAATTCGTATATATGTGATTTTTGTTGCTATAGATTTAAATAATTTTATTATGATCGAATTCGAGTTGTTTTAAATATATAAGTAAAATATAATATTATTATTCGTTATATAAAAATGCACGCAAATCTTCGATAAAAGTAAATGATAATATGTTCAATTTTGAAGATTTATTGGGTTATGAAGAATTTAACAGACATATCTACGCATACTGAAAGTAGTACGCAGGGGCATTACCCTTATAAATTACCATATTAAAATACGCTTATCTCGTGCAAATAAACACATACTGTTCCACTGTCATCCGCATGATTCTGTTTTGTCCGAAAATATTATTTGCTTGAAATCAACGACGTCTGGATGTGTTCTCTTTCACACTCACAATTGACAAATAGGATAATACGCTTACAAAGAGCAAGATAAATATCTCGCGGTTCTTTATTCTGAGTCATCATCATATGGCATATCAAACATAATAACAGATAAGAATATTGTTCTGTCCAAATGGAAATAGTAATCATTAAATGTACTATATACATATTGCTACCATACATAATAATTTGTTATCATTTGACTTGAGCTGACAAAAGTTAGTTCGGGAACGATATGTCTATACATATATGTACCGGATAGATTAAGACAAACGAGAGAGAGAGAGAGAAAGAGAGAGATTAAGAGAGAGAGAGAGAAACTCAAACATAAATATTATCTTCTTAACATACTTATTTCAACGAAAGAAATGTGGATACATTTTGTTACCTAAAAAGATTATCGTTATTTAAAATCAATAAAGATTCAAATAAATAAAAGCTAAAAAGAATAAGATTAAAGATTTTCCGGAATTGCACAAATTCATCGGAATACTTCGATGATGAGGTCGCCGACATAATCGAAAAAAAAATAATTTGGTATTTGATCAATCTTTTCTTCGCCGAGGAACTGTGTCAATGACGACATTTCATAGCAGTGGGCGAAAAGAAAAAAAAAGAGACGGGTCCAAGAATCTATCTAACAATAAGATCGCATGACGTCAAATGAAATCGATTGTTTACCGGATATGTCACCGGATGGGAAAGAGCTTTCTGGACTTTGGATTTCGTTCCTGATACTCATAGCTATAATCGGTCATACTGATTCTGCCAAATCTATAAATTGACTTCTTTTACTGCGATGATCCAAATGTATGATTTGCAAGAAATGCATGAGATTTATTCGTTTTAATTGCACTTTCTGCACAACACATACATACTTTTTTCCAAGATCTAAATGTATTTTATTATATCCTGTTTTTAACGCAGAAAGTGCAATTAAAACGAATATAAGAGATTTATTCGTTTTAATTGCACTTTCTGCACAACACATACATGCTTTTTTCCTACTTTTTTCCAAGATCTAAATGTATTTTATTATATCCTGTTTTAAACGCAGAAAGTGCAATTAAAACGAATATAGATCTATCTGTTTATCAACTGCATTCAATTAAAAAAAAAAATTGTAAATCTACATCATTTCTTTTGAAATAAATTTTAACAGCTCTAGTTTAATAAATATTCCATAAAAATATCGTTTGCTATATAAAAAAAGAGAGTGAGAGTTATATTCAATGTTTTGTTGGAAAACTATATAAATAAAAAAAAAACAAATTTTTATGTTCTGAATAAATTATACTCACTCACAAATAAATGTACGTGACAAGGACATAGCCTAGAATATAATCTACACGTGTATGATACATTAACTATCAAGGTCGTATTTGCACAAGTCCACTAGTCAGTTTTTCATACTAATATATAGTGGCAAGAGTTGATTCATTTCCTTTTCTCATCATCGTATTAGCATTTAGACACATAGTAACGGACATAAAATTAGAACTCACTGTGTTTATTACAATGGCTCTTTGAAATGATAAATGTTTACTCAGGCTTACTGTATCACTCTATTTTCAGAGA